ATTTATTGATTTTTAAATTATTGATTTTTAAAACAAATATGCTTTATCAATTGTAATACTATTTTTTTGAAAAATATTTTCTTTTTGATGTACATTTTTCTTTTATTTTATAAGAATTTTCATCATATATTTTCTCGATTTTGACATAATAATATAATATAGTAATGATAAACTAGAGAGTTTGAATAATAATAAATAATTGCCAAATCAGATACTTAATCCAATTAATAATTTTCCTTTTTAATACGCAACAGGCCTGTAAGCGCATTGGAAAAATGTGCGACAACGGCGGTGAAAATGATATCCGACAAGAAAATAATGGTACACGAGGGATCGCAGGATAAATTGTCAAAGATATTTACATTCGATGGTATTTTCGGTCCCTCGTCAACTCAGGTGGACATATATAATACGGTGGTCAGTCCATTATTGAAAGAAGTCATTGCCGGGTACAGTTGTACTGTGTTTGCTTATGGCCAGACCAGCACCGGGAAAACATATACAATGGAGGGAACTCTCGTGGACAATTTGAATCTGCATTGGCAGAGTGACACATCCGCCGGCATAATACCTCGCTGCCTGAATCACCTTTTTGATGAGTTGCAGCTACTAAAAAATCAACAACATACCGTTTGCGTCAACTTTTTGGAATTGTATAATGAGGAGCTGCTTGACCTTTTGACGAATGACAGCGACATGCCATCAAAAATCAAATTATATGAGGATATAACAAAGAAGGGTTCAGTTATCATTCATGGCCTAGAAGAAATAATCGTTCACAGTAAGACCGAGATTTATAAGATTTTTGAAAGAGGCTCCGCGAGACGGCAAACCGCGGCGACGATGCTGAATTCCAATTCGAGCCGCTCGCACACGATATTCACGATAACAATACATATCAAGGAGAACACCAGTAGTGGCGAGGAACTGCTAAAAACAGCAAAACTGAACTTGGTGGATTTGGCCGGTAGCGAGCATATTGGCAGATCTGGAGCGATCGAAAAAAGAGCGCGGGAAGCCAAAAGTATCAATCAGTCTCTGTTAACTCTTGGCAGGGTGATAACCGCACTCGTGGAAAAGGCACCTCATATACCATACCGTGAATCAAAGCTGACTAGGCTGCTGCAAGAATCGTTAGGCGGGCGAACAAAGACGTCAATAATCGCGACTGTTTCATCCGCCAGTAATAATTTAGAAGAAACGTTATCGACGTTGGATTATGCTTGTCGGGCTAAAAATATCACTAATCGTCCCGAAATTAATCTGAAAGTCTGCAGGAAAACGCTATTGAGGGAATATACCAAGGAGATCGAAAGACTCAGAAAAGACCTCTTAGCGACACGCGAGAAAAATGGTATATACTTATCGCTGAATGATTACGGCGCCATGCAAACATTAATTGAGGACCAGAAGAAGGAAATAAAGGAAAAAAACGAGTATTGCGGAGTACTAGAACAAGTTATAGAGAGTAAAGAGGTATGTATTTCAACAACGAGTGATTTCGACATCAATAAAAATTTCATAGTATGGTTCTAATTGCATGGAAAAGAGAAGGATAAAAAAGCGTTTATAAAAATCTTAATATGAGCAATTGTTTTTGAAATTAAACAAAATTAAATATATTTTTCCTATAAAATTTATTACTATTTCTTCTATATTTAGGATCTTTTTAGATTTAAATTTAAGATCTATTTTTTTAGATTAAAATTTGCATGCTTGATATCTAAAGAATTTTATGTATTTGAAAAGATTGAGAATTTTTTATAAGAATTATTAAATTATTATAAAATTATTATTAAATTAAAATTTAAGTTATACTTTTATTAATATTTTGGAATATATAGAAAAGAAAAGTAAAGAAAAAATGTTTATCTTTATTCAATTCACTATAAATAAAAATAATTAAATGTTGCCTTTTCTAAATAAAAAAATATTTGTTATTTCTTTTTTTAAAATATTTTATATAAAATATTTTTTATAATATTATTTTATATAAAATATTTATATAAAATTTTTATATAAATAAAATTTTTATAAAATATTTTAAATAAAATTTATATAAAATTTTATATAAAATAATTTTCTATAAAATATTTTAAATCTAAATTTGTGAATTTCAAATCTAAAATGTAATTAATTAATTTTATACAATTAAAAAAACTGAAAGTGTTATTATTGTATAAATTATATTTTATTTGATTATAGAAAATATTCAATGATTTGCGATCGCAATATAGTACTCAAGTAGATGAGTTAACAAACAATAGGACTGAATTAAACAATATAAGTAATTTTTTACAAATGACGAAAAAGTCTTTAAGGCAAATCGAATGCGATAAAAATGAACAGGAACAGCTTGTAAGAAAGTACATTAAAAACGAAAAAATTTTGCACGATCAAATGAAAACTCTTTTAAACGTGGTGGATGAAGCGTCTGAAGATGTGCAAAAATTACATGACAAACTTGATCGTAAAATGTAGGTAAACTTTGAATTACAGGTCTCATTAATGAAATTATCATTTTTAGTTTACTAGAATATAAATAGATTTAACTATTGTCTTCGAACACTTACAGTTTTATTAAAAATTATTAATTAGAATATATTAATAAGATTAACATCAATACAGGAAAGTAGAGGAAGAAAATGAGAAGCTTGGATTGCAAATGAAAAGTAATTTTGCAAAATACTGCGAAAATATTGAAAATATGCTTTTAATTTATAAAAAAGAAATTCATAGTCTTCTTCAATTTGTAAAAAATAAAGTTGGTAAGTTTAAAACTGTTTCATAATTAATCTTATAATTTTGGACTCTATAAAAGAATTTATTTATAAATAAAATATAAATTTTTTTATAGAAACTCACATAGTTGCACAAGCTACAAATATCAATGTGTCGATTCGTTCCATCGTGGATTTTGCAATTCATCAGCATTTTCTTGAAAGTAAAAAATCAAAAGAAGATATAAATATTGTAGTAAGTTTTTAATAAGACATTTCAATTACAACAGAATAATAATATTGTGATAAAAAATAACATATAAGTTACAAACACACAAGTTACTAAAGTTAAAATTTTTAAATAATAGTAATCATTAAAAATTAAATTAATTATAAAAATTAAATTAAATTAATTAATTAATAAAGATTAAATAAGTTTAGGTTTAATTAAAAATTAGAAAATTTAAAAAATTATAATGATAAAAATTGCTTTAAAATAATATTTTAAATATTTTATAGCATACTTATTATCAAAAAACATTAAATACACATATGCAAAATACATCGGCTATGATGTTCAATGAGAATAAATTATTGACCGATATTTATTCAAAATTAGCACCAGATATTTGTGATTTATTAGAATCAAGATACAATGATAGTGTTATGCAGAATTTGCAATATTTAAACAGGAATATTTCTGAAAAATTAGAAAGTGTGTCAATGTACGCAAAATATACGATGGAAACTCTCTGTAGAAGTCGTCTTGAAGAATATAATTACTTACGTAATAGTCTAAACAAAATTAACGAGCATATTAATAGCATATTCCGAAATGAAAAACAAGCGATGGAAAATTATAAAGAATTCGGAAAGGTATAATAAATCACATCCTTAATTATAAGCAAGAATTAAAAATCAATTAATTAAAATCTTTATATGAATATTTATTTAAATATTATACTGATATTCAAAAGTGTTTATGATCATCATCTGTTTATTTGTTAATATCTTATATAATTAATATCATATATGGTTATTAATATGATAATATATATTCATGTTTAGAAAATGGCAGATTTATCATGTGGATTTAATTTTTTAAACAAATGTAAAGAAAGTTATTCCGAAATTATTAATACATCTTATCAAATAGATGAAGTTTGTAATAATGTATACGATCAAAATTCACACAATTATAGCAGAGATATAATTAAACAAAATGATTTAAAAGATTTTCTACAAAATATTACATCTATTATCAAGAATGATATTGACAGCGGTATTAATCAGGTAGCTCATTGTTATTACCCATAAAATTCCTAATATATTTACAATTGAACTTCTTTTAAAATTATAAACTGTAAAAATTATCATTTAATTTATTATTTTTTTGCTAATAGGCAGAAATATCAACTAAAATTGCTCTTAAAAAAGGAAATGTCTTGGTCACCGATTTACAAGAGCGTCTAACTAACGGTTGCATTACCTTAAAGCAATATAACAATAATGTCCAATTTATTGGAAAGCAATTACAACAAAAAATGACTGTAGATAAAAATAGAATACTTATTTCCAATGATGTGTGTATATAAAAGATAGATTTGACTAATTTCATCTTTATATTATAACTAATATTTAGTATTTACTTTTATTATGTTTGTTTTATAGAATATCTATAAAATAATTAATCATATGAGTCTAACTCATGATAAACTTATGAAAATACAGCAAAATAAGATTTTAGATTTTTCTAAGATAATGGATGACAATTTAACACATCAACAAATAAAATTAAAGAATTGGAATAATAACATAATCGAAGATTTACGCGCGTCACAACAGCAAATTGATAAATTTCTGATTGAAGACTTTTGTCGTGACATTTGCACAGGTTTATTTTAACTATTTGATCTGTGACAAAAAAAAATGAACAAATACATATGTATAATGATATTATTAACACACACACACACACACACACACACACACACACACACACACACACACACACACACACACACACACACACACACACACACACACACACACACACAATGATATTGTTAAACAAGAAAATATCTCATTATTTAAGCATGTATTTTCATTTCTTTAGATGAATAGCAAATAATCAAATGATATAAAATATATTTTTAATGTTTCTTAATAATTTAAAAAATAATGAGATGTTTGTTTATTCATATCATTCTAGTATATAATAAACCATTTTCACCTTTTTATATATGATGAATAGGCATAACGCCACAAAGAAAAAAATTTTCATATCCTCGAGAGTTTATAATAATATCACCTGACCTCATTGAAGAATATCGAGAAAGCAAAAGACACACAGATGAAGCAGAAGATAATTTAGTAAGAAATTATCAATTATATTCTAATCAATAAACAAAATTTGAACGTATGATTTTATATGAAAATTTATTTTTGTTTAGAATTTGACATTTGAACAGTTATCTGTGCTGAAAATGAATAGCGTAAAAAAATCACTCAATGGAAATGCGTTTATTACATCTACACCGCATAGTGATCCAAACGCCATATATCTGAATTCTTTCAGTCTTGAAACTCCCATTAAATCCATATTATACACAGATTCACCCAGAATTTTAAAATCTTTTGAGTTAAATGTTTGCATAGAGGTAAATATTGTTTGTATATAGATACATAGTTATTTATTTGAGTGTCATGATTAATTGTAGAAATATAGTAAAAATTTGGTGCGATCATGCGTCCTTGTTTCATGCAGGGAAATAATAATCTTACTAAAGCATTGAAAAATTTGACTACTTACAAATCGGAAGATTAGATCATCAAAATAATTAAGTAGGATGTTTAAATATATGATAATTATATTGCAAACATTTTTGATATTTTAGTCAATTTGAACGTCCTACATATGTAAATATTTTAATGGCTCGACAAAATTGTCTTCAGATTTGTATCTGGCCAAACTTTTGAATACATCAGCAAATCGCTCTTTTTATGTGAAAAAGTGCTAAGCAACGCAGTAACATTTTTCTTATTTTGACAATGCCAAATAACGTGTTAGTATTTTCTTTATTTAATATTAAAAACGGTCAAATAATATGATTATACTGATTTCATTTGCATAACTTTTTATTCATTTATTATAAAAGTATTACAAGATAAAGATTATAAAAGCAAAAGTTTCGGTTTAGTAATTTGCTTTAAGATGTAATATGATCCACTAGAAAATGCATCATCAATTGAACCTACTAATTGTTAGATACTGATGTTATATTATGACAGGCAATAGAAACAATACGCTCACACAGCGTAGCACTCAAACAGATCTATATTTAAATGTTGAGCATATATTAACAATAATGTAAAAACATATTCACTTTACTGTCATATCCATTTGTAGTGATTGAATCTTTCTTTCAGGAGACTAAAAACAATTTTCAGAATTCCTGCAAATTTAACAGGCTAGAGATAGGAAAGAGAAAAACAACAGATCAAGATGAAAAGATTACTTGGAACGTTTAATATTTCTTACTGATAATTTTTATTTTAATATACAAGAATGTTTCAGAATTATGAACATAAAATTTAAATATTATATAATAAAAATTCCTAAATGCAAATTAAAAACTTAATAAATACAAAAAACAATCACGAAATTTTTTATCTTGCTAGTTATATTTCTTGTACAAGCAATTATATTGTAAAATATAATTGCTATTTCAAAGAATTAAAAGGATTAACTTCACAAATACAAAGTTGAATATTCCAAAAGTAATTAAATTATATTAAGATTTTTATTATTTTCTTGTTGTTTATGTTTTTAATAAATTCTATATCAATCAAATTAAATCTGTTTATAATTCTGAAATCCTGTATATGCAACACGAATTCTTTAAAAAAACTTGAAAATCATTTGATATGATAACTTTGTAAATGTTGCATTGTAAATGTTGTATAGAATTTCATATAATCATTTAAAGTCATATATTAAATATTTTAATGTTGTCGCAAATGAAGCAAATGAATTATTAAACCTAATAACTTAGAATGAGAGAATTTATTCGAATTCGATGTATTAATTTTTACCATCGAATTCGAATATATAAATATATGTTAATCAGTCATAGGAGAATTGAATAATTAAAAGCTGAATTCTAAAATACTATAATCTGTATTTCTATACAATTGTTTTAATCTTTATCTGAATTTGCTCATTCAAGACTCGCAATCATCGAATAATAATTTTGAATGGCTTAAAGTATATATATTCTCTGTACTTAATTGCTAAATTTGATATCAAGATATACAATCTACTAGCGGTTGAATTCGACAAAAAATTCTAAATATAAATACAGCAGACAACTTATGAATAACGCGATAATATACAAAGCACAGAAAATGATCATATATTCAAGACTCTCCAAGAAATGAGAGAACAGAATATAAAACTTTTAAACTTTCAACGATAAACATAAAGCCAATTTGACGAGTAAATATAATTAAATATCAATACTAATGCACACGCAACTTATTACTAATAATATATTATTCTACTTATAAAACATTCTTTTCCACAATGATAAATTAATCATTCGTTTGAAAAATGATCGAAAAATGTTCACAAAATTAATTTTTATCTGCTTTACATGATTCAACATAAATAAATAACACGCACATACCTTTTCTCTATTATTAATTAATCAACAATAATCGGATCATATATTTATAAAAAGCATGTGTCACGTAGAAAAATCTCTTTATTATTTTATTATCTAAAATAAGATATACGCACTTGATGGCACATTCAACAAAAGTACGGAAAAAAATTAATGTCAAAGAATCAAATCGCGCTTTCAAAAGTCAATTAAATGCAACATATTTAGTAAGCAAAAATATAACGGAGATGACTATTTGCACTATTAAAAAATGATGTTATCAAAACATGCTGCGAATTTTAAAACATTTTATAAAAAAGGGATTACTTGTGATATAGACATAAATTTGCAAATGTTTCGTAACAGATTAGTCAAGTTTAAATGATTTTCACTTAAAAACTATTAAATCTCAACATTTTCATACAAGGGTTTTCGTCTTAGAATATTTCACAGATTCTGTCAGTGAAAGAAAGCGATAATTTATAGATATCTAGTATAGTCAATTTTGAGTTTATCTCTATACAAATACAATCTTTTTGCCACATTATTTTCTATTAATATAATGCATCAAGTATCATCAAGTGCGTAAAGGTACTATAACATTCCATCAATAAATAAACGTATGCAGATTAAACGTATTTGCTCGTCATATCCAAGGAATAAACTAGAGATTATTCACTGATATGATCTGATTTATCCATCCGATGTACGAAGAAACTTTTACATACACTCCCGGGACATTCTGACGTCCACAACCGAATCCCCAGGAAACCAGTCCAGCTAGTTCGTAGAAGCCATCATCTTGGCATACCAGAGGACCTCCACCATCGCCCTAAACATTGACAGTATGATTAACTTTTCATCGAACAAGATATTTTCGAGAACAACTAATATTAGATTTATAAATTAATTCGATGCCTTTTTACAAAATACAAACTTTATTTATGGTTATCAAATAACATAAACTTAATTATCAAAACAAACTCCATTATTTTCTATAACTTCAGTTTAGCTTTTTCGCCAACTATTGGATTGCAATGCAAAAAGAATGACAGTTTCAATATAAATGATTCAATCTGCATCGAATTAATTTACGCATTGATGTGCTTTAATATGTTATTAAACATATATGTGTTCTTGATAAAAACAAATATACCTGACATGCGTCATTTCCCTGTTCTCCACCAGCGCAAAAACTGCTGGCCGGTAGAATAAAAATTTTCTCAGTCACAGCGTTCACTTTCCTTATACATTCAGCATCGCTGACAATCGGTATCTCCGCTTCACGTACTCGAAGTGGTATAGGTCCAGCTATGAAACATTAATTGTTGAGTAAAAAATGAAATATAAATGTTTATTCCGCCAATATTCATTTCTCCAAAAAAAGAAATACGTAATATCACATAATTTATGATAATAATGAAAATATAATTTACCTTCTCCCATATATCCATAACCGGTAACTGTACATCTTTTGCCAGCTGTGTGACTGACACCCCGTGCGGGTAAGCAAACCAAGCAAACTCCATCCTTCAGTTCGGCTTGACCGTGAAGCTTCAGTAGAGCAATATCGTTGTCAAGCGTCTGGCTATTATGATTGTGATGGATATACGTCGTCGCGACACGTAAAGTTTGAGCGCCAGGACTTCCATATTTACGAGTGAGATCATGATCGCCTACCCTCACGTAGATCGCGTCGCCGGATCTCACAATACTGGAAACAAGAGCTTTTGCATGCTTTTCTCGGTTTTCTGACTTGTTCTTCGCACAAGAGACCATAGACATTACGCTTGCAATGGACATTAACATTTACTTACTTTGTGACACAATGCGCTGCGGTAAGAACCCATTGTGTTCCTATCAATGCGCCTCCACATAGGTACTGATTCAGAGAATTTATCAAAGCAACCTGCCAACACCATTCATTGGCATCCGCATCCTCACCGCCTACTACCCGCGCTACTCTTTCGGAACTTCGCGCCTGAATTGGACCACGCGAAGTTCCCTTCACGCCGCAGACATATTTGCTATATACCGGACTTCTGGCAGTGGTAGTGGTGACAGTCGTCTCATCTGTAAAATTGATTATTTAGCGTACACAAATTCTAGTTTACCAAGTAATTTAGCCAACTTTAACTTAACTTGGCAATTTTCATAATCTTTATAATTTTATTTTGCAAACGATAGATTTCATTACTTACACGATGTAGCGAGCGGAGTAGTGTAAGGTCGCAAAGTGACATGGAACGTATCATTCCTGTTCATCAGAACTGATTCTGTAGAATTTCCCCCGTGAAATTCTCTTATCAGAGATTTCGGCGCGCAGCATTGATGTCCCTGCTTCTTACATTTGAATAGGTTTGTTAACTCGGCGTTTCCTGCAAACATATGAATAAACAGAAAAAATCGTCCGCGAAAGGCACGCATTCCTCGCATGATCGCTACTTACTGAAACAGGTGAATGACAAATAAGATACGATACAAGAACCAGGACAATCCGGGCGCGGATCTGGTGGCAACGACACTGTCATCGGCGGTCGTGGGGTAGGTCTCGGCCTTGGTCTCGACGTCTAAATATTGTAAAGAAATTATAGAAAGAGTCATCTCTCTTGAAATAATACCCCATAGCAGGAAGAAAGTTTGAAAAAAGTTTGAACGAATTTAAAGAAAGACCTTTATTATTTAAATTATATCTTGCAAATGAACGATCAAATATTTTGTTCCTAATTTTATCAGTTAAATCAAAGAATTTAAAGAGGTTCTAAAAACATAATTTGTTGATTATATTAGGTGTACAAAAAAGTTCTGAGCTTTAGATTTCATACAACCGAAATAACAATTTAAATTTTATATATCTTCCCGCCCTTTTTCGGTTTTAAAGCGTTGACATTTGGCCTTCTAAAATGCCATACGGTTTGGCGTTTGATGCACATAACCTCAAAAATCAGTAGTGTTCACGATGGCAATAACAAAAGAGCATATTCGATTTTCCATCCACTTCACGTTTCATCTGAAGAAAAATGCTGCTGAAGTCACTGCATGATTTGTGCTGCATATGGAGAGAACACTGTAAGTCATACTACATGTAAAAGATGGTATCAAAAATTTCGACAAGGAGATTTCAGTCTTGAAGATGAACCGCGTGCTGGATGCCCTCAAAAGATTGAAACGGACGAATTGCAAGCACTGCTGGATATAAACTCTGCGCAAACTGAAAAGGAGCTTGCAGAACAGCTTGGCAGCTTCAAGACTTTCATCTTCAAGACTGAAATCTCCTTGGCGAAATTTTTGATATCATCTTTTACATGTAGTATGACTTACAGCGTTACGCAGCAAACCATTTCTGTACGTTTACATATGATGGGAAAGGTTCAGAAGGAAGGCAAATGGGTTCCGCATGAATTGTCCGAAGACAACAAAAATCGTCGGCGCAACACTGCACTCACTTTGCTTTCAAAGTTCCGGAAAAAAGATTTTCTGCACAAAATCATTACAGGCGATGAAAAGTGGATTTTTTGTGATAACCCTAAACGTAGAAAATCATGAGTTGATCCTGGTCAACCTTCGACATCGACGTCAAAGCCCAATATCCACGCCAAGAAGATTTTGCTCTGTATCTGGTGGGATTGGAAAGGTGTGTTGTATTACGAGTTGTTACAGTCGGATGAAACAATCACGGCAGACCGCTACCAACAACAATTGACCAATTTGAGCGATGTATTAGAAGAAAAGAGGCCATTTACTAGCTAAAGACGTTGTAAAGTGATCTTGCTTCATGACAATGCTCGACCACATGTTGCGAAAGCGACTCAGGACCATATCTTTGCGTTAGGCTGGGAACTTCTCCCGCACGCGGCGTATAGCCCAGACATGGCGCCTTCCGATTACTACCTATTCCGCTGCAGCATCATTTGGTTGATACACATTTCGTGAGATTTGAAGAGATAATGCATTGATGATTTTATCGCTTCGAAGCCGGTGAGCTTCTATCATCAAGGAATTCGCAAGCTACCCGAAAGATGGCAAAAGGTCATTGATGCAAACGGGGAATATTTCGCTGATTAATATTTTTTGTTTGTTTTTGAATAAGATTGAATTTTACAAAAAAAAGCTACAGAACTTTTTGTACTA